ATTTTATTAATAAAACATAAAAAGTCATTGCTTCATTTATTTGTATCTAAATGCATGCATACATATTTATGTATGTATATATGTATGTACATATGTATATTCATATCAATATGAAATGAAAATAATTGAAAATTTATTTTCTCGCGGCAGCAATGAAAGCCACTGTGGCGGATGAGGGTGGTACATACATACATGGTAAATGAAAAACGGAAATAGTTGATCTAGAGGCTGCAAGCTGAATATTACAAAGCCTAGCAAATATAAAACTATACATGCAAGTACATATGCACAAACATACGTACGCACAAATCTATTTACTAAGCCACTTCAGCTGGCTCGCCAAAGCCTACATTCAAAGCAAATTTGTAACGTTCGCAGTGGAGATCGTGGGGATTGAGGCTGGGTAAGGCTGGCTAGGCAGGCATACAGGCAGGCAGTCATAGCCACAGTTTGACCCAACGACGACTACGACGACAACGCCAACCACAATCACGACTAAAAACCACAACAACATGCCTAATGGGGAATTACATACATACAAACATTTGTATGTTGAAATATACAAACAAACATATTAACTAAATAACAGCAATCGCAACAAACAATTTTACAACAATAGTCGTCATTAATTTGTACGTCCGTCATGTGCCCTGTTTGACTGTGGAGCGATGTAGACGACAACAACGACAACAACGACAACGACAGCGACGACCACGCTTGGTTAACAAGCCACCACAGCTGTCATTGTGAACGCGATCCGGTTCGCGATCCCTCAACAGTAGTATACATAAATATACATACATACATACATGTGTACGACGACGAGACACGGCGTTGATCAACATGGAGATGGCGGTCCAGCAGTCAGCCTCAACCCAACTAACTAAATAAGCAAAAAATTCATGCGGGCATACATATACCATTCATATATGTACAATAGCGTTGCCGTTTTGGTAATTTTTCCTCAAAATTGGTAATTTTTCCTTTTTCGTTTTGGTAACTTTTAATTCGGCTTATAAAGTCTAGATTGATCAATTCATGCCCGCTCTGATTTCACATTAGAAAGTGGACCTTAAGGGTCTTCATAAGGAGGGACATTTACAGGGTTATTCTGGCAACTGTCTTACAACTCACCACAGTCTTTCGAACGGCAAAAGCATTTCGTAAGAAAATTGTCAATTCGGGCAACCATCTTGGAAGCTGTTTTCGGTCTTTCGAAAGTCTAATTGAGAGATCGGCTAACGAGGAGGTCATATCATTACTCATTTGTCTTTTAGCAATAAGTTTTCTAAATGAAATAAAAAATATAATAACACTAAATAAGTTTTTAAAAATTAGATGAAATTTCTAAAAATATGTTTCTTTTTAAAACAAAAATGTCTAAAAATGTTAAGACAAGTAAATTAGAAAAGAAAAATAACAATATAGGTTTCTAAAAATTTAAGTAAATAACGTATGTTTTTCTTTTTAAAATTATAAACATTAAAATAAAAATGAAAATAAAATTTAATTAAAAAAGGGAGAAAACCTAAATAAAGAAAAAGGGGGAAAAATAATACACTTAGTTTCTAAAAATTAAATGATATTTCAAAAAATTAGTTTCTTTTTTTATATATTTTTCTTTTTAAAACAACAAAGTAAAAAATTAAATTAAAGAAAGCAAAAAATTAATAAAATAAAAAAACTACGCTGCCCGAGGACCAGAACCTTGACTCTTTCGAACGACACGCCAGTGCTTTGCTTACTGAGCCATTGCGGCTGTGGTAGCTGCGCGAGCAAAGTGATATACATACAAGGGCTTTCTGTAAAAAGAGCTTTTCACCATAGAAGTTGGCAAGGGAGCTTTTTTTGTAAGATGTTCGTGCCAGAATAAACACTATCTTTCAAACTAACTTGTCTAGTGTCTTAAACTTAAAAGTGACAATGTGCGTTTTCTTTTATAGAAAGGCCAGATAATCCCTGATGACCCACAGGTCGAAAGGTTGCAGCGTTAATTGGAGACTAAAATGGAGTGATATCTAACAAACTGCTTAAAAGTGGTCGTGCCTTTCTTTGCTAATTCATCAGCTTTTAAATTACAGTCAATATCCCGATGTACTTGGCGCCCATACCAGTAGAATTATCTGCATGTACTTTTCTGGACGTCAATAGGGCTGTTCACGATCCAGTGCATACTGTCTAGCATGGTGCATAGATGGCATAAATAGTATGCACCGGATCGTGAATACCCCTAATGACATTCACCAAGGTTCTTTTTAGTTTAGAGAATATCAAACTTTCTCATTAATGAACAAAAGCGAAAATGTCTGTGCAACTTAGGAAAGTTTTTAGCCTTCAATAAATACGGCCTTTATAGAAACCCTATAAAAAAGTCCAACGAGGGGACCCAGCCGGATGATCTCGGTAGCCAAATGACCTCGCATGAATTAGGCATACTAACACATTCTCACTTTTGGCTCACGCTTATTTCGGGTAGTGCTCACCCCTGCAATGAAGCATATCCACGACACTGTGAATGATAAGATGCCTTCAATTGTTTTGTGGCCGATGAATGTTCGATATTTAGGAAAGTATCGATATCATGAATCAATAAATTTCATTGCATCTAAAATTGATATGGCGATGTATCGAGCTGAACAATTTCGATAACGGCAAATCGATTTAGAAAATCTTTTATAAATGAAATTCTTGTTGAATTTGGTAACTTTTCTGGTTGATTTTGGTAACAAATAAATAAACATTGCGGCAACACTGATACATTTGTCTTTTTGTATGTATCAAATGCTCAGGCTTGCGCGCGATTTAAGCGAGTTAGCAATGCTGCTGCTGTTGATCCACTGTTGAATAGTTAACTGATCGTGTAGATCGTAAACGCAAACATCTAGATATTTAGTTACCCTGCAGGGAAAGCTACTAGTTGTGAACTAGAGTTCTACCAGTTTGCGTTACAGCCCAACTAGTTCACGTTCTATCCTTTTTCAAAGTTAGCAACTGGTATTTTTAACATGGCGATGTTCTACGACATGTCAAATTACAGGCTATGCATCAGCATCTACTAGTATAAATACTAGTAGCATCATACCAGTTGATGAGATATTATGCCAATTCATCCCCCGTGAAAAGCGTAAGTATGCCATTTTGCTCGCGGCGCTCCTTCAGTCGCAATGACCGACAGAGCAAAGTACTGGCGTGGTATTCCTGAGGTCCGAGGTTCAAGTCCTAAGCGGACTCGAGCCTGCGTTCTCAGAACCAGAACCGGTAGTCTTCACGC